TGGCAGGGCAGTGGTCAGGAAGAACTTCATGGTCGTTACTATCATGTGCAGGAGTGCCATCTCATCTCCGATACCAACAAGTGTCAGAGGGGCAAAAAATGCAGAAGGTTGTTGACCTGCTTCAGTGAAGACACGCATCTTCTTCTTCTTCTTCTTCTTAACGTTGTCCCGCTGGGGCAGGGTCCGTTGTTCGGATCGAAGAGCGCCACTTTGTTCGATTCAGGGCATCTTCGCGGCGCAGCTGTGCAGTTTTCATGTCCTCGTTGATCGTGTCTTGCCACCGCTGTCTTGGTCTCCCACGCGGTCGTTTGCCGTCGACTTCAAAGCGGTACGCAGTGGCAGCGACAGTATCAGGAGCAGCTCGTATGACGTGGCCATACCACTGTAGTCGTCTCTCTCGCATTTTCTCTGTGATAGGCGCAACACCCACGTGCCGCGAATCACTTCGTTGCAAAAGTGGCCAACTCGTCCATACCGTGCCTGTTCTCTTTCTTATCTCGTCCTCGAGACCTCCATTGGCTTGTAAGCGGGAACCCAGATACCTGAAGCAGGTGGTTTTTGGTAGTCCTCGCCACTGACCTGGATGGTACCCTCATCTTGAACAGTTTCCAAGTACTCGGTCTTTTTGATGTTGAGACGAAGACCGTACTGGCTAAGCCGATCGCACCAAATCTGAACTCGATGCTGTAGTTCATCTCTGCTGGTGGCTGCGAGAAGGATGTCGTCGGCATACAGCAAAGTCCACGGAACATCATTTTGCAAATCCCGTGTGATTGCATCCAGGACGAGGATGAAAAGCAACGGCGAGAGCGCTGATCCTTGATGAACGCCAACGTTTATCGGAAAGCTCTTGGAAAGACCATCTGACTCGACTTGTGGTGCCCGCGTACAGCATTCGGATCCAGTTGATGAGAACTTCTGGCACTCTGTGTTCACGGAGCGCATACCAGATCAGCTGGTGTGGAACGCGGTCGTACGCTTTTTCCAAGTCTAGGAAGGCTAAATGGAGCGGCTTTTGTTTTTCCCGATGTTTCTCCAAAAGTATGCGAGCGGCGAAGATTGCATCGATTGTTCCAGAGCCCTTTACGAATCCGCACTGGTTGATGCTCAGCTCGACGATGTCGCGAAGTCGTTGATCGAGGATCCGCTCAAAGATCTTCATAGTATGCGACAACAGGCGAATCGGGCGGTAATTCGAACATTCCGCGAAATCTCCTTTATTTGTAAAGATTGGTTCATTAAAATGACGAGGAAAACAGAGTGTTTCCAATTTTACGACGCGCCGTTTTTTGAGAAGAAATAGTGTTTCTCGATTATAATTCTAGATCTTGAGAAAATAAGCAACACATCATATTCTACACCTGTTTTTTAATTACAATGTGCAAATCTGGCACAATTTCTTTTTTTATTAGCCACGCTGGATGAAATATAGGGACGTTCTCAAACTTTCTACCGCTATCGATGTAGTATATGTAGTAGGATCGCTTAAAGTCAACAACTCACTCGACAAGTTCGGACTTTTTGGAAGTCGTTACTGTGTTGTACTAATGAGCGTTTTGGACTAAACCAGCCTTCCATACTGACATCACCGTTTCATAAAGTTCGTAAACTTCGAAAAAGTCACACGACTCAAGTATTCCATTACCCTAGACATCGCATATTCCCTTCATCATCTCTTATAGAGTCTCTTGCTCTCAACAGTAGCATATTTATCACAACACTATGTACAACTTTGTACATTGTCATCATTTTACAGCCGACGAGTAACTCAAAAGGCCTTGTGAAAGAGCGAGCGTCCGTACTCGCAGATGTCATGTGGGGTGGGACGGGGACATTGTTGGTGGGTGATGGAAAACAACTGATAAAGGCTGATAAGGCGCGTCAGAACGCAAAAGTCGTCGATTCCGTTACGTAGCTTGCGCTGACACTAGAGCGTCCCTACTTACAAATTCTATTTGTAGTGGTACGTGCACATTGTATCATTGTATGACCAGCTTACTTAAAGGAAGCGATTACGATAGATCTCACAGGGGTTTAGAGGGGACGTGAGGGTCTCAATAGTACGCCAATGGCGAAAAAAGCAAAGAAATCCGTCAAAAATAAGCAAAATAGTACCCCTTTGATTGCCCTTTCATTTTCGACCATGGATGAGCGACGGTAAAGAACGACGTTGTTCGGACGTGTTAACCCCGATAGCCGCCATCATGCCAACAAGCATAGTGTTTTGATTGATAAGGCAATACGTGGGCAAGTTGGAAGATACACGCTAAAGGGAAATGATCATCCAAAATGAAAAGCCAACAGCAAACAGTCCATCCAGATCATCAACAGAACTAGTGGGCGTCACGTCGCACTAGGGCGGGGCGTCGCACGGGTCCTGCTCAGCCACCCGTGGACCTTCCATCCGGTGGGAGGCCACGACATCTCTTGCTTGCGGCCAAATTATCGGCTCCGATGTGACGCAGGGTTCTTCCCCGTGGAAAATTCTTTGCGTTATTACGTTATAGTTGGTGTGAAGTATTAGGTTGTCTCATAAATAGTGTCGCTTTTTTTCAACCACAAAAATTTCATCCAAATCCTCATGCTTTTACATGATTATATACCATTCGAAAGAGAATTGTCTGCTCTACAAGATGCTGTGTTCCACTTCCACCTCTGTTCCAGGGTTTTCAAATTTTAGGCCTGCGAAATGGGAGGTCCAGCCGACAAAAATTGACCAAACCGACAACTATCTCTAACTTTATCTTCCCTTGGGAGAAATCAATCAATGATGTACCCTCTACTTATACATGACCTCTTAAACATTACACCATAAGGTTTCCCAACAAGTCGCGTCGTTCCTTTTCCAGACCTGGTTTTTCAACCAGAACTCGACGGTCAAGCACCATTACCTGAGATCTAGGTCGAAATTTTTTTTATAGCCGAGACATTGAAAAACTAGTAGAATTTGAAGAACAAGTCATGACTAAGTTAGGAATGTACGCCTGGTTGATTTTCTCATCTTCTCAAGGATAATTTTTTTCAAAGAAATGCGGCACTTTCGTGGATAAAGCACCTTACTCCTAAACACCTAAAATTCGAAGCTAATTCCTAACAAACATTAAAACAAATTGATTGAGCGGCTAGAGCAGAAGAGTTGCTCACAAAAGGAACACCATTCGATATGAAACAACGGCGTTCACGAGGAACAATTTCAAATTGAAAATTGGTATGGCTTATCGGTCAGCCAATTTAAAAAGAAACACGGCAAAGCTTTTTCGGCAACCTAAGGGTGGAATGTTCAGAAGAGGTCATGAGTAAGTAGAGGGTACATCATTGATTGATTTCTCCCAGGGAAAATAAAGTTAGAGCTAGTTGTCGGTTTGGTCAATTTTTGTCGGCGGGACCTCCCATTTCGCAGACCTAAAATTTGAAAACCGTGGAACAGAGGTGGAAGAGGAACATACCGTCTTGTAGAGTAGACAATTCTCTTTCGAATGGTATATGACATAATGTAAAAGCTTTAAGGATATATTAGAAAAATTTTTGAATTGAGAAAAAGCGACACTATTTATGGGACAACTTAATACATGAACTCAATCACATGTATTTCAGCAAATATAAGTTTACTTTCCTATCAAGAAGCCGAAACTCCCATTGAAAATCCGCTATCCTTTCCGGATGTTTGTTCTATAAGTAATGGTGAATGTAGATAAATGATAAGCCTTAGCTCTTCCACTTACAGTCGAGATCCGTAAGTTGGGGTAGGCGTGTCACCGGAAGTGACGTGGACTTGATAGAGGTTGCGTAGGTAAGTCGCTGCCAGCATGCTTTGCTGATATCTCGCGATATATATTGGAAGCACCTTATCCACATAGATTCTATAGTACACGTACTTCCAGCAATCCTATTCACCGCTAAATTATCTGAATTCAAGAAGAATGCTGGATGTTTACAGTTGTGAGATAATATGCCAGTTCAGCTCCAGACGTTATCACGCGTATTCTCGATGGACTTCAGCGAAACTGGGAAAGGTCTAACACATTCAATAGTGAGGTGGTTAATGGAGTACCTCATGCTGATATTCCATGGGTCTCCAGTTTCGCTAAAGCCTGCCGTGTGATGCGCGCGATAGCGGGCGGAGCAAAACTGGTAGCTTCATATGAATGCTTTTCCACACCTATTAAATCCCGAATCTTGCCTTTAAAATGCATACGTAGCGGTTGCTATGGTTCACGGCGATCATGCGCAATCCCCGCTCCTTGACGAGTTTGACAAGGCAAGTGAATTATACTCGATATCGGTGAGTTGGGGTGGGCGTGTCACCGGAAGTGACGTGCACTTGATAGAAACTATGTGGATAAGCTGCTTCCAACATACATCGCTGGATATCAGCAAAGCATGCTGGCAACAGCTTATCCACGCAACTTCTATCAAGTGCACGTCACTTCCGGTGACACACCCACCCCAACTTTCGGATATCGACTGTATTTACGGGACTCAAGAAATAGCAAGAGCATTACCAGCCAAATTGAGGGCAAAAAAAGAGAGGGCAGGATAATACAGCCACAGTATACAAAGATAAACAATAACTTATCCAAGCCCCTCCTGAGTTGTTCCTACAACTTCAGTAGTCAACAGTGCCTTGTTCAACAGATTCATAATTGTTTCTTGAGCTTTCTTCAATCCTGTCAGGCTGGTTAGCCCCAATCTGATTGATAGGCGCCATAACCTAGGCCAAAATTTTGAAGTTACCATAGGACGAAGTGTGGCGAATCGCTAGTAGCGAATCGCTCGATTGGCAAAGTATTACATCGACTATAGGCGGAATAATATCAGCAGAGTGCTCTCCGCTGATCACAGCCAGCGTTTCTGTAGCCTTTTTTAAAGTGTTCTGTTTTGGTCCCTGCAGGAGGGCAATCTTCATTACTACACAGGCGGTAATTAAAAATAAAGCTCTATGAGAATACAGTCATTCGTCAATAACACACATTGCATAGAGACAGAATCTATAGACACAACTACTTCTTAGGTTGGCTTTTGCGCGGAGTACGCGCACGCGGAGTACGCGTACGTGGAGTACGCTTCTTAGGTGTGACAGAAGCAGCGGGTATCGATTTCTGGGTAGGGGCAGGTGCTGAAGGCTTGCTTTGGGGTGCAAGCGACGACGCCTTCTGAGTTTGCGTACTTGACAATTCAGTACTCTTTGATGGCTGGGGCTTCTTACTTTCCGATTGAACTGTCGACGTGGTACTGACTGTTGATTCCGGCTCCTGTAAAATAATGGACTTTAGTCATGTACATAAATTATTATTTATCCTACTATATATAATTCGCCAAGTATGTCTGTGCGTGTGTGGGTGTTTGTCACGAAAATCGTAGCGCGCGTACCAGCAATCACCTGGAGTCGATTTCAGAGTAGTTATAGGGGATAGAACGCGAACATACAGTCGATATCCGAAAGTTGGGGTGGGTGTGTCACCGGAAGTGACGTGCACTTGATAGAAGTGCGTGGATAAGCTGTTGCCAGCATGCTTTGCTGATATCCAGCGATGTATGTTGGAAGCAGCTTATCCACATACTTCTATCAAGTGCACGTCACTTCCGGTGACACGCCTACCCCAACTCACCGATATCGAGTATATTTGGTGGGGATAGATAGAAAGTGATAACCGCTCAGATCTGATGAGGGACGTTAGAACGCGGAAGTCACGAAATGCATGGCGCGCGACCCAGTAGCAGTGAGGCGTTGTCTTCCGAATATGATGTAGGGGTGGGACGCGAACATACTTGGTGGGGACCGAAAGTGATACAGCTGAAAGGGGCTGATGAGAAACGTTGGAAGAAAAATGTCACGACGAAAGCGACCACCCTGCTGGGCCTTGAAAGCGTAAGGCTCAGCAGGATTGAAGCGTTGATTTGCAGATGCACATGATATAGGGGTAGGTCATGAACATATTTGATGGTGACCAGAAAGTGATTACGGCTGCTAAGAGCGGTGGAAGGCAAATGTCACTGAGAACTTGTCCAGATATGGGGTAAGCAAAATCTGGTTTCTCTGCGATGTAGTCGTGATCCATTCGACCGCTAATCTGCCCGAGCTTCTTGAATGGTCGGCGTCTGTGGAAATACGATAACTATTGGTATTTCTATCTCATCACCGGCATAAGAAGTTATTCGACCGCTAAACAATTCCTGTAAAACGGTGCCGTGCACGCATATTTGCAACTCTTCTCCAATGAAAGAGGAATTCTACGCATAGAGTTAACGATTCAGGTGATCAATTAGGCGGTAGGAAAAAATATCTGTCGGTCAATTAAATAGGGGAGTACGCGAGATGGCGATTGCTCAGTGAGCGGAGCGAACCAAACTGATGCTCTGCGAGCCTACACGATACGTATACTCTTGATATGCCCACTCGCCCAATCGCCTATTCGCTTGTGCCATCTCAAGCCCTGAGCATTGCTTAATCATGTACGTAAAAAATAACTTTCAATTATATATGAACTGCTCTTACAGCAGCTTTGGCTGGTGCGGTCGTCGCTGTTCCAATCTCGACTTCGGCGTCTGTAGAAATACGATAACCATTGGCATTTCTATCTCATCACCGGCATGAGAAGTTATTCGACCGCTAAACAATTCGTGTGAAACGGTGCCGAGAACGCATATTTGCAACTCTTCTCCTATG